AAATTCTGAATTAAAAGCGTAGAAATGTGATAAACCTTTGTTGAGTATTCTTTTTAAGTTTTGTAAGAAGTGTCAAACTTGGACTTATACGGCTTTAGAATCAACCATATTTTAATAATAAAATAATAAATGGCAAAAACATGCCAATATGTAGGTTTAGTATAGTTATAACAAGCACTATTTATCTAATTTTAGAATGATGGGCAATCTAACTGATACGCAAACATTTATTTTGACCTGCGAACTGTGCTTTGGTTTTATGTCTGATATTGCCTTCATATTTATTTGTTGGCTTCAATCGTCCACAGTTTTTGCAAACAAAGTCAAACGTACTTTTTATCGAGAGTTTGGTTTTCGTATATTTCTCGTATCCGTAAACGTACAGAAACCGATTTCCATTTTTGTTCAGTTCTGATTTTTTTTTTTAATTTCTTCTCTGTTAATATTTGGATTTGCTTTAATTTTTTCATTAAAAAAATCTCGAAAAATTAATTAATAAAATGTAAAACATTTATATTCAACAATTTTTATTGAGCTCAAGGCCGTTTTTAAATGAAATTTTATTGTGGAAAAGCAACAATAATTTGAAAAAATGGTAGATGTGATAGCTATTTCGGAAATCACCACATTTCCTCATCATCTGTAATTAAATTTTAATTTGTGTAATTAAATACTCTTAATTTTTTCCGTAGAAATATTGTGCATTTATCATTCGACTTTCTGTCATCAGTTTTCTGCGGAGTTTCATTTTTTTCCAATTGGATTAGTGTGACATTTAACTTGCCACTATAATATAACAAAATTAATTGAACACCGCAACACTTTGCAAATGCAAACGCCTACCAATTGAATTGTATTCATAAGTATAAGAGACTTAAGCCTTAGCAAATTATTTCCCTTTTCAATTGTTAATTGATTTGATTAATGAACAAATCCGGTAATTTATCACGTTCAGTGTGCAATGTGTAACCTTGTATGTATGTGTGCATACAAACATATAAAAACCCACACCAAACCTTCTTAAGAGGGTTGACCATGAAAAATTTTTGTTGGAAACATAAATTAAAGAATAACAAAAAGATCTGCAACTCCAGATTAATCAAATCGTTTGACCTACATCTTTTACGTCTGTAATCACCTTACCCATTTTTTGTACTTGTTATTTCTATTATTTCTAAGCCAATGCAGCATATTTACCAACCAACACAGTGTGTATCATAAATCAGTGTTTAAAGCTTAAGCCTACGCGCAGGACAGACACGTCGTTGTTAAGGCGTTGCTGGCGAGGCTTCTTGCTACGAGCTGGTAATTGTTTGCACTTATCTTGGCAGATGCTGTCCAAAACGAATGAGGCAGGAAAAGTGCATCGGCGCATCGGCAGCCGAAAGTTTATAAGAAAAGTTGCATTTGAAAATATTTTACAATAACTGCGTAAGTGAAATGCGCTTCTTACAAAAATATTTAAATTTTTCACAAAAACAGGTATTAGATAATAATTAAAGTAATTAAGAACTGTTTGTGTGTGGTAGCAGTAAACTTATCACATAGCTAGTTGCAAAATTATTTAAGCAGATATTTACCGAAGGCAGATTAGAAGAAGAGTCCATAGGCTATGTCCCGACCCCTACTCACCTTTGAGCCATCCGTTTATGTATATTTCTGTAAAATTTTTTTAGGCCAAATTTCCAATAGTTTCTAGAAGGAATAACTGGGTATATTTTCTTTCAACGACTGTGCGCCAGAGAATGCCGTGGCAGGTAGCTTATAATACGTAAAAAAATATTTATGACAGAATGTAAAACTACTGAAAATCTTTGTTTTGCAGGCAGGCGGTCTTTGGCCTCGACGCTGCGATGCCAGTTTAGTTTTTCATTTAAATTACGCTCAGGCAATTAACTTAATTTAAGCGATCATAAGGGGACTAAACTTTCTTCTTCAAAGCTATTATTTCATTCAGATTGTCATTTATGATATATGTAGAAGAAAATGCGAAAAGTTCGCTAGAGATTGGCAAAAAAAAAGGTAGGGAATATGCTCGGTTTCTTGCCACAGAAGTTAGTATTAACGAAACCATCTCCATTTATTCCCCAAGATAAATCCCACTAGACATTTGGCTTCCGGATGTGACTAGGTGAGTTTGGGCGCTGTAATAAATTCTTACTTGAACGGTAAGTCCTATCGGTCTAATTTGGCCTTGCTTAATATTCTACTGCTCCTCGTCTTAGAGAGGCGATTTCCAGATTTGGTGTGCTACCTCACAAGTGAATTATATGCTCCATGTTTGTCAGCACAGGAAAGTTAGTTTACAGGATGTTGGGTATACCTACTTCGTAAGAGATGTCCATGCACTAATATTGAGATAAGCCAGATAAGAAGTAGATATCGCAGCCAACTGAAATATGTGTGTGATCTGATTTATTTGGATATCAGCACCTTGATGTAACGGGTGATTTTTTAAGAGCTTGATAACTTTTTTTTTAAAAAAAACGCATAAAATTTGCAAAATCTCATCGGTTATTTATTTGAAACGTTAGATTGGTCCATGACATTTACTTTTTGAAGATAATTTCATTTAAATGTTGACCGCGGCTGCGTCTTAGGTGGTCCATTCGGAAAGTCCAATTTTGGGCAACTTTTTCGAGCATTTCGGCCGGAATAGCCCGAATTTCTTCGGAAATGTTGTCTTCCAAAGCTGGAATAGTTGCTGGCTTATTTCTGTAGACTTTAGACTTGACGTAGCCCCACAAAAAATAGTCTAAAGGCGTCAAATCGCATGATCTTGGTGGCCAACTTACCGGTCCATTTCTTGAGATGAATTGTTCTCCGAAGTTTTCCCTCAAAATGGCCATAGAATCGCGAGCTGTGTGGCATGTAGCGCCATCTTGTTGAAACCACATGTCAACCAAGTTCAGTTCTTCCATTTTTGGCAACAAAAAGTTTGTTAGCATCGAACGATAGCGATCGCCATTCACCGTAACGTTGCGTCCAACAGCATCTTTGAAAAAAATACGGTCCAATGATTCCACCAGCGTACAAACCACACCAAACAGTGCATTTTTCGGGATGCATGGGCAGTTCTTGAACGGCTTCTGGTTGCTCTTCACTCCAAATGCGGCAATTTTGCTTATTTACGAAGCCATTCAACCAGAAATGAGCCTCATCGCTGAACAAAATTTGTCGATAAAAAAGCGGATTTTCTGCCAACTTTTCTAGGGCCCATTCACTGAAAATTCGACGTTGTGGCAGATCGTTCGGCTTCAGTTCTTGCACGAGCTGTATTTTATACGGTTTTACACCAAGATCTTTGCGTAAAATCTTCCATGTGGTCGAATAACACAAACCCAATTGCTGCGAACGGCGACGAATCGACATTTCACGGTCTTCAGCAACACTCTCAGAAACAGACGCAATATTCTCTTCTGTACGCACTGTACGCATTCGTGTGGTTGGTTTAATGTCCAATAAAGTAAACTGAGTGCGAAACTTGGTCACAATCGCATTAATTGTTTGCTCACTTGGTCGATTATGTAGACCATAAATCGGACGTAAAGCGCGAAACACATTTCGAACCGAACACTGATTTTGGTAATAAAATTCAATGATTTGCAAGCGTTGCTCGTTAGTAAGTCTATTCATGATGAAATTTCAAAGCATACTGAGCATCTTTCTCTTTGACACCATGTCTGAAATCCCACGTGATCTGTCAAATACTAATGCATGAAAATCCTAACCTCAAAAAAATCACCCGTTACTTGTAGACTATTGTATCGTATGTATGTATATATTTTCTCTCTAAATCGGTTAATATCATTGAGCCTATATCCGTTTTGATTAAAAGAAAATGTAGCTTCCATTTGTGTTCGCCTATGGTAGCTAAAACTGCAGTTTATATATATACATTCCTCGGTGCAATCGTTCAATTGTACACAAATTCCTACTTGTATGTAGTGTTGTTGGCTGACTTGCATAAGTCTTTTCATGCCAAGAAGCATTAAAATACCAAACTATAAATCATCGATGCATTTTAAAAGTGTTTGTATAAATTTCTAATTTATTTGCCGCTGATGTTCTCCACTAAGCTTTATTGCTGCCAACATAGGAAATACCAACTAAACATAAGCAAATAAGTGTGTGTGTGTATGTATACAAAATTACCTGATTGCAACAAACTCATTTATTATGAAATTGTAAGTAGGCAGTTATGATGATTTTATTGTTATTGTTGGTGTATACTATTTATATTGCCCTGTACGAAGTGTTGCATTTGCTTCGAAATAAAGGAGCAGCAACAATTTATTATTTGCCAGAACAGGAGTGTTTGGTAGCAGTGAAGGCACAGAAAAATTACTAAGAACGGCGGAAATGTAGTGCAAGTACTTGTTGCTATACGGTAGATAATATAAACAAGGATACAAATGTGGGCATGTTTATTACACTGGTCACGAAAAATGTTTTCTAATAATTTCCGGCAGTTTAATAACTTATTCGTACAAAGTGAGTGTTCATGACTGGTCCTTAACATAGCCAGAATGTAGCGTTTTAATAACATTTTTGTTTTTCGACTTATTTTAGAGAGTTGCAAAAATTTTAGAATGCAAGTTCTTAAAACGAGTTTTGATATATCACTGTTTAAAAACGGGCCATATGTATATGTACATATGTACAGTGACGAACAAAAGTATTGACACAGATAGATTTTCCGTAATGTTCTATAAGAATAGAGGTCAAACTACAGCACAAAAAAAAATTATTGAAATTTCTAAATTTTATGCAAAACTCGAGAAA